CATCATGCATGCTCCATCCCATATTATTAGACTTATTTGTTGGATTAGTTCTGCTTTCGGACTCTCTTGTTTGATGGCACACGTTATGCAATTGCCCAAAGAGATTGAGAATCTCAAGTGTAATGTCATTTACCCATATCCTCCCCATGAAAAAGTAATGCTGCAATACAACTAGATGTGACATTCAAGACAATCTTATCATTTGACATTAGAGAAATAAACACTGATTTCTATAAAAAAAAATATTTTTTCAGTTCCACTGTAACCATACATAAAAAAGAAACCTCCTCTTTCAGGTGTCACAACTTCCATTATCTCATCGTATATATTGTGCTGATATTCATTCATCGTAGATAAGTATCTCATAAGATCATATGTAAACTTTTCTTTTTCACTTTTATAATGCAAAATCATTCAAGCCCTTGATAGTATTCTCATCAATATACAAAATGTTTTATCAAAATAGAAATAATTATAAATATGAAATTATATTTCTCTTTGATGTGGTTGTAACTTGTAACTTGTAACTTAGTCTCGATCTTATTAGTCTCCATTCGGATTTAATATTTTCATTTGACTTTTCTTGGTCAAATTTTGTATACTTTAACCTTGTTATATAGAAAAAAAGAATCTCTTCATATTTAGTAGCTAAATAATAAATTTTGGAGTTCCGATAAACAAAATTGGAAATCTTTTCTCGTAAGCTCCGCAAAGAATATGGAAAATAATATAATTCACCAAAATATATTACTATCAATTTCCTTTTTAAATAGATTACTAATGGTGTCCTCCCTTAAACTTACCAAATGAAGTGTGAGTACATCATCAATTACACAATAGTTTTCACAATTTCACTTATCTACACTCTAAAAGAAAAAAAGAAAGATATGCAAAGAGGTTCCCAAGAAGTTGAAGATGATGATTTTGTAAAATAAAAAAAGATGTATAAGGTAATATAAGTGTAGAAGGAAACTTTTGGTAATTACTACTCTATATATATTACTTTGTATATATTTCCTAAACAAAACTAAAAAAATCACTCAAATAAAAGTAAGACATAAATCTTATGCCCAGAATAAGAGTTTAATATTTTTATTTCCTAAATAAAGTTTACACAGTGACGTTGTGGCAATGTATATTACCATTTCATAATGTTTTTAGCACTATATAATAAAATATTGGTATTGTAGTTAATATTCTGGAGATAAATTGTAATGTAGGTGGCACTTCGTAATCCGTATAGGTGGCGGATGATTTGTTAAAATGTTGCAATGTAGACTCACCACTTATTGTAATTCTATAAGTTTAACTCTTAAATTTAATATATAAAGATAAAGATATGTAGCAACCAAACCCATTCTTTTTGTTTAGCATAAGAGCACTAACCTAAATATAAAATTAATAAAATTCATTCAGAGAAGTAGGTGCATAATTAATTATTTCATAAAAACAGATGAATCTAAATCATTTTTTTATGCAAAAATATACTCCATCTGTCCTTCATAGATCTTCTCATTATCTTTTTTAACAATTAAAATATATACCACAACTATTCCCACTTACTTTATTTATTACACCTTATATACCTCATTTAATACACTTCAACCATTTTCATTAAGGGTATTATGGTAAACTTTAACATTTTTTCAACTCTCCTTAAAAACCACAAAAAGTCAAAATGAGAAGATCTTAAGGGGACAGAGGAAGTGATTCTACATCCAAAAATAGGAAGTGTTCTTTACCCCCTCCGTACGTATATATGGTAAATAAATTGGTATTTTTAAATAATTCTAAAAACTTTATTCATTAACTGTCTCAGTTCGCTTTGCTGTCAAATGCTTGAATAATTATTTATATAAATATATAATGAATTGAAATATTAAAAATTAGACTATAATCTCAAAATAAAAAATATGTCTGATAAAAAATTTCATTGGTCAAATATATCTCATTCAAAAAATGAACCAGATGTTAAAAACAATAGAGTTACTAATTCTTAAGATTAAGTGCATGAAGCTAAAAAGAAAAATAATTTAGTCACTATGTTCAATCAATAAAAAATAAAATAAAATAATGTCAAATCAGTACTCTGTATGTTGATTAAAATTACCAACTCATTAAAATAATAAATAGACAACAGATGATTTATTAAAAATGTCATATTAGCTCGTGACATGCCAATATCATGTAAGCCAGAGTCTCAAATTTTATAATAAAAGGAAAGATTAGCCAATAAATGTCATTAGCAATTTATTGAAAGTTTTTTATAATTAACATTTATAACCTCCTAATTATAATTACTTTACATATATCTCGTAAAAGTTTTTCATATGTGCAATAATTGGGAATGAATATTTGCTCTAATAAGATGTTTTATGCTTTAAGTTAAAATTGCGAAGTCACTTTAGTCATCAAATGTGGGTGCTGAAGTGTAAAAAAATTTGCCAAGTAGCCTGCCACATTTCGAATTTCTGAGAGTTTAACTCCCAAATATTATATATAAAGGATATATATATAATAACAATGGTAACATTAATAATAGAAATAATAATAATAATAATCATAGTAATAATAATATTATTATTCTTATTAATGTAAACATAATAGTTGTATTATTAATGATAATAGTAATAGTAATAGTAGTAATAATAATAGTAGTAATAATAGTAGTAGTAGTAGTAGTAGTAGTAGTAATAATAGTAATGATAATAATAAGAGTAATAATAGTAATAACAATAATAGTAATTTTGTTTAGATATGATCTGATTGAAGCTAATTTGATCTAATATGAGTTTAATAAGAATAAATAATAAGCAGAAAAAATAAGTTGAGGCTACAAGACGAGAAAAATATCATCTCAGGAACATAGCACGGGCCTAGCACGTGGCCTTGTTCCTTAATTTCACTATAAATAACAACTAGTTCCTCTTTGGGGTTATCTAATTTCCACTCTTACTCTGCATTCTGCAATAGTCCTAGCCTGTAATATTCTCCCATTTTAATAACAAATTGACTGCAAGTGTTTCAACCTACTGTCTTTCCAGTCAAACCTGAGTTGAGCATGGTATCAAGATCTCTACCCAGCACAACGCCTTACAGCCGGTCTAGAGTCTTTTTTTTCTTTTTATTCAGGGTGTCTAAAAATTATCTTTTCGTTGTGCATTACGATTAGTCGTGTCAATGGGTCGGGTTCAGGCCGGTCCATAGTGTTCTATACTCGTACCTGTTTTTTAAAAATGATCCTAACCCATACCCGCTTACCCGATGGGTCTTGAGGTTTAATCCTATATTCGAATACTTTGGGTCTCGGTATCGGGTCGGTTATACCCATGATAAAAGTTGATGTTTTTTATTTTTCTATAATTGAAAACCAATTAGTGAAAATACTGTGAATGAAAAACACTTTAATTGAATATAAATAAAAATAAGACTAATACGTAACTGCAACAAAAATCAGTCTTTTTACCAAAAATCTACAACAAAAATTTTAGCTTCATAATCAGTCTTGTCACATTCATTCATTTTACAAGAATGTTCTTTATAATAGTTCAAGTAATTTTAAACTATTTATTTTATGCTATTACATAGCATAAGCTAACATGTACGTGCATCTAATGTGGTGAAATAAATACAAATAGATTTGAAAGTCATGGAACTAGCAAAGAAGATAGGTAGTGAAAAAGAGTGGTAGGGTTTTGTAATACTTCCTCCTTCCTATACTTAACTTCCCATTTGACTTTTCACGGTCTCCAATGCGACACTTTGACCATCAATATCTCAATTTTTGTATAAATAAATTTTATAAAAATTATATATTTTAAAACTATGTTTCAAAATGAATCTATTGCTAATAAATTTATATGAAAACTCAATGTATTTTTTCCGTAATATACGGTCAAAGTTTAAAAAGTTTGATTACAAAAGTCAAACTGGGCAATTAATTTTAGAACGGAAGGAGTATTTAGTCTTATCTACGTAGTATGTATTTAACCGGTACGGGTTTTAAACGGGTCAGGACTACCCGTCCTTTACCCGACCCTTTATTTTTTTAAAATAACAGGTACGGGTAAACAATAATTTTTATACTTCGAAACCCGCTAAAAAATTACAGATTTATACGGGTTCAGGTCTATACCTGACCCATTGACAGGCTTAGTTATGATATTTGACTTAAATTGTTTTAAAGTCATTTTATATGAAAATTGTGTGTAATTAAAAAGTACTTCCCCATCCTCAAACTTTCTTTCCAGACATTATTTATATGGTCAAATTCTAATCACTTTCTTTACTTATTTTCGTTAGTTATTTGATAAAATAATATAGTCGTGTCACCTCTTTCTTTGTAAAACTTATGATGCATTTTTTAAATATGCAGTTTTCATTTTTTAATTTGATACCTGTAATCAAATAAATTAAATTAAAAATAATTTCAATCAAATATCGTAAATCAAACTAGAATGAAAATTTTAGGACAAATGGAGAATAAACTACATATTTTTTTATATCAAATTTATTTTTCATGACTATATTATTTGATCAAATAGGGAAGAAAAAGACAAATGAAATGAATAAAATTTAATTTTCTGAATAATGAATAAAAAATACTTCCTCCGTCCTAAAATTAACTTTCCAGTTTGACTTTTGTAATCAAATTTTTTAAACTTTGACCGTATATTACGAAAAAAATACATTGAATTTTCATATAAATTTATTAGCAATAGATTTATTTTGAAATATAGTTTTGAAATATATAATTTTTATAAAATATATTTATATAAAATTGAGATATTAATGGTCAAAATGTTGTATTAAAGACCGTGAAAAGTCAAATTAAAAATTAATTTTAAGAGAGAAGGAATAAGAAAAAAAGAGAAAGAAGGTGATTGATTGAGTAGACAGAAGTGAGAAAGACGCGGTGAGGGCAGTTCCCCCCTTCAACGTGTTTGTTCCTAACGTTGTGCCGTCAAGAAATATACGATGACGTGACACGTCACGCCGATGTTCCCACGTTACCCGCTGCCCGGCCATTTTCCCATCAGTTTAAACTTCGCTTTACATTTTTATTTTATTTATTTCTCCCATTTCCCTATATTTATATCTCTTTTTCCCTTCCTTTACTCCACACCCCACCCCCACCCCCACCCCGCCTTTCTCTCTATCCCTCTATCCGATCTCAGCTCAGGTGTAAAATTAATGGCTCCCACAGAGAAAGCGGCGGCGTTGGCGGCGTTGGCGGCGGCGGCGGCCGCAGGTTGTGGGAGGTTTCGCGAAATTCAGAAGGAGCAGGCGCATTTCAGGGGTGTCCGGAAGCGGCCCTGGGGGCGGTTCGCCGCGGAGATCAGAGATCCCGGGAAGAAGAGCCGCGTTTGGCTAGGGACGTTCGACACCGCCGAGGATGCCGCCCGGGCTTACGACAAAGCCGCCAGGGAGTTCCGTGGCCACAAGGCCAAGACCAATTTCCCGGCGCCGGAGGATCTCAATTTCGCGTCCCTGTTTGACGCCCAAAAAACAGGGGCGGATCGCCGGAGCCCGAGCCAGAGCAGCACCGTCGAGTCCTCGAGCCTCGATGGCGGCGGCCGCGTCCCGTCTTGTCCGGATCCCGCCTCCGCATTCACCTTCCAGAACAACCACCCCTTCGTGTATCCCGCCGGCGGCCAGATGTTTTACATCGACGCGGTTGCGCGTGCGGCGGCGATGAACCCACCTCCTCCCGAGCGCCGACGAGTACCGGACACGCTGAATCTGTTCGGCGGGGACCGCCCCGAGTGCGATTCTTCTTCCGTCCTCAACTTGAACGGCGGCAGAGCCGGCCTCATCGATCTCAATCTGCCGCCGCCGCCTGAATGTTACCTTAAGTTGTAATTTTTTGTATAGGTTATGCCGATCTCCCTTTCTCTCGATCTGCAACAGAGGAGAGGCTATCAATTCTGCGGCGTTTGATCTGAAGAGTTTTCGAGATTTTGTTATACCAAAAATCAATAATAGTCATAGATTTTGTAATTCCTGTTTAAGTTCTATTAAAATAGATCACCATAATCAAATTTAGCTTTTCTGGGAATATTTATTTAGTCTATAGATTTTACAGATCTTCATTTTGTAGATATATTTGATTGAAGTTGAAGTACTGTACTGGGTAATGTTTAAGGCGGCAGATGCGGATTTGGTGGCGGAGACGACGACGGCAAGAGGCCACGGCGGTGGTGGTGGGGTACGAGGAAACGATGAATAGAGACATAGGGAGTGTCGGCTGCCACGTGGTGCAGTTATTCGCAGTTTGAACGCTGCATTTTTCTTTTCCTCGTAATTCTACACTCACCTCACTGTTCAAAATGGGTGTGAGAGACGGGTACAAGGGGGGAACACATTGAAGATTTGCATTAATTAAAAGACAATGACATTGAATTTCATAGTTACCCTTATTTGAATTCAAACTTAAACTCTTCTAAGTATTTATGTTGATTCATGCATGACTCAATCAAGAAAGGAAAAAAATCTACCGATTCCCTTCATCCCTTTCGCTGATTCTCCTTCTCTCGATTTCCTTCCTTCGATTCATAACAATTGCCGGCTCATGCAGCACCATCGCCACCACCGCCGCTTGCAACATCTGAGTTCATCGTGCAACAACACACAAATTTGTCATGCCGCTCTATCTCTCTTTCTCAAATCTCATATTTCAGAAGTCTTTTGGTTCTCTATTGACATTTAATTGAATTTTTATTTAACTTAAGCTTTGTTTGGATGTTTTTGGACAGCGATTTGTGTCGGGAAATGAGGGCCAACAGTTGTGAATGATGATTTGTCATATGGCTGCCATGACGGTATCCGTGAGATGGATGACGGTCACTAGTAATATTATTGCAGGTCAGTGGTTGAGTTTGACATTATTCATTTGTTTGACATTTTAAATTTGTAGCAGTGACATTATATATGGTAATCTGTGGCATCATGCATTACCATATGTGACTTTATATGGTAATCTGTGGCATCATGCATTACCGATATTATATGTGGCCATGTTTGGAATTATACCTTCGCGGTTGTTAATGTGGCACTGCGACGAAGACTGTGCAGAGTCTGATGGTGGTGTCGGCAATGGTGCAGAGTGTGATGGTGGTAGAGTGGTGATGTTGTCGATGTCAGTGAAAAATAAAAGGGCCACAATGTTAGATTTTTGCCGTGGTGGCACATCATCCCAGTGTGGGTGGAGTAAGCCAGCGGCGGAGATTCAAGTGACAATGGCATGCGATAGAGACGTAGTGGGTCACGATGACGACGACGATAAGAGGCCCTAACGGAGGGTGGCAGAGGTGCCGTCATTGGTGAAAGGATACGATCAATGGTCCTGGTCATTTTTTTTTTGTTTTTTTGGGGTTGTCAATTGTACATAACACAAATTGATTGTCTGAGTGTACGATGTATCTTTTACAGTCTTATCAAAGAGCAGTTGAATCTCTTCTTTTTGCTCACTTACTCCCTACAGTTTGAAGATGAAAAATAAAAAAAACTTGATAATCAAAATAAAAACTGATACCCCATTTGTCCCTAATTTGTAATCAAATTGGGGTTTATGAGGAGAAATATCTCACTTTTTAAAATCATTTTATTTACAGATCGGTATATCAATAAGAAATAAAAATTACATATTAAAGTTAATTTGATATTTCAGTTTGAATTTAATATGTTTTTGGGCAAAGAACCAAAAATTGTATTTTGATTTAGGTATTTAAGCTTCCGCACCATTTTATAATACACTGATGAATATTTAAATATTATTTCTGAATAAATGTCAAAAAAATTTGAAAATTAGTTATGTTTAGATGTCAATCTGGTGACAACCGAAATCGTTGGCCCTTGTATTCGGGTCACGTGGGTCGGAGTGTTACAACAAGGGTACTCTAGGGCCCTCAATCCTTTTCTAGATTTTTTCCATTTGTTTAATCTTTTCCAAATTTTTTAAAATATTTTAGATACTTGTAAGTGGTTATAAGATAGTTTTAAACATATTTTTGGGTGCATTTTGAGCTATATTCTACCATATATATCCTACAGCGGTATTTCCACTCGATTTTTGAGAATTGATTCTTAATGAATTTTTATTGTACGTGAAACACTCAAACAAGCATTAGCTTATATATTGTGTGTAAACATCAAAAGATTCAATTTGGCAAATCATGGCTAGGAATTTTTAAGAACTATTAGATATAAGGTTTTAAATATTTACGTTTTTTATTATTGCATCAATGTGTAAATAAAATAAATACAAAGAGAAATGGGGTTTTATATGTTCAAAGAGTACAACTCAATTCATTTGGGGACAAAGGAAGTTAATACCTTTAACAGCCCTATATTAAAAAAAGTAAAATTTATACTAAATATGACTAAAACATGATGACTTTCTTAATGTAGGACTTAAACTTTTTTATTCTCTAAATAACACTTAATAATGACCTAGTGGGAGGAATAATGTCCAGTAATGATGAACATTTACTTGAATAATGACTACTTGATAATGACCAAAAATCCTACATTGGGAAATAAAAACATATGGTCCTATATTGGAAAAGTCATTATGTTTTAGTCCTATTTAGGTAAATTTCTCTAAAAAAATTTGGACCTATATAAAGTTTGTTTTGGACATATAACCACAAGTTGGTTAAGTTAATATTCATGTCGTCCTAAACTAATTGTCTCACTTTGATGTAGTATAACCCAAAAAAAATTCTCACTTTAATTTTCTAATAAAGTAAAAAATATATATTGTCTGCAGTCTTTCATTTTCCACTAATGAAATTTCAAATAATCTCCACTCTTTACTTTTCAGTAGTTTTCTTAAACTACGCGAGTTCAAATTGGGACGATTAATTTGAGATGAAAGGAGTAGTTAATTCATTGGCAAGAATTATTTCTGAATTTATTAAATCAAACCTTAACACTATGTTTGGTCCAAGGAATTTGAAAAAAAAATAAAATTAGAGTGAAAACATTTTTTCATATCCGGTTAGAGATGAAAAGAAAAGAAAAGAAAAGTGGAAGGAAAAAAAAGAGAAAGCAAATGATACTAAAATAATCACCCTATATAGAAGTATAATATTACATGTAATGTAAAAGATATTTATAACTTTTTAATATTTTTTATATAACATAAAAAATTAATAAAATATACTAGAATATTATGATATTCTAAAATTCTAATACTAATACTAGTAATATAATATACATTTAGAGTATAAATTCATTAATATATTATACTTTATAAATTTAAGAGAATATAATATATTTATAATTTAGTTACTAAAAGAAGTATTTAGCTATAATGTAAATTTAGTAAAATTTGGTATATTTTAAAATATAGTTTTGAAATATCAAATTTTTATAATATTTAAATTATTTTAAACTATATTTAATTCGTAATCAATGGATGCCACAGTTTGACAAAAAAAGTCAATTTGTGGTCAAATTTGTATTTTTCAACTCCGTGCACGCCTTAAAAATATACTCCCTCCGTCTCCAATTTGATTACAATTTTTTCTCTCTCATCTCGGTAACTTTTGTTTGTTTACGCGATTTCATTAAGTATTTGATAAAATAAAATATTCTTTTCATCTCTTGTTTTGTAGAACTTTTAACGTAGTTTTTTAATATGTAATTTTTATTTTTTTTATTGATATACCGATTTGTAAATAAAATGATTTCAAAAAGTGAGATATTTCTCCTCGTAAACTCCAATTTGTAATCAAATTAGGGACAGATGGAATATATAATTTTTCTTCGGTATATATAATATCAAAAAATTTGGGCTCCTAAAGTATTGGGCTCAGTACGACTACTTGGCCTTCCCCCGAGTCTACTATAACAAAAAATATCAAACTGTGGTAATCTTTTAGTTATGACACATACAGTAATTGTTTTTCCCATTTTTGATTTATTTTATCTTTTCATTTTTTTCCTTCGTAAGCCAAACAATTTTTTTTATTTTAAAATTTTTTCTTTGCTTACAAAAATCCTTGAATAAAAATGGGATTAATGTCATTTTGGTGGATTTGTGTGGGGTAACTAAAGACACATGGAAATGGTGCTAGAGGAAAAAGTGGCAGGAAAGTGTAGCAGAGGGGATGCCAAAGTAAGGGAAAAAGGGGTTAACCCCACTTGGCTCACACGCGCGTCAGTCGTCATCTCCCTCCGTCTGCGTTTATTCAATTGTGCAATCAGTCAAATTTGGAATCTCTTTTTTTTTTACAGTGGGTCGGTGCACTGTAAAGCCGCACGGCACTGCCAACTTTTTTTTTATCCGGCGCGTCACTCTCACTCCCGCCGAAATACACCATACGCCCATTCTCCTACTTTCGTATTGGATTTGTTTTTTAAATTTAGTAATTTATTTAAATATATATACTCCGTATAATTTATAAAGAACATGTTAAAGAAAAAAATAAATTCAAATAAGTAGGTAATATCTTGACGGATAGAGTAATAGTTACCACCACCCCAAAAACTACGAGTATTCATTTAATTTTACCGAGGATTACATTTTTTGAATATATTAATTCTATTAATGTATTATCTTTTTGTTTCTTTCCTTCATCCTACAAAGTTCTTTTTTTTTGACTTTTACTCCCCCCGTTTCTTAAAATCTTTAAAACACTTCCTTTTTTTATTTTCCTTAAAACACTTCCTTTTTTATTAAAAACCACTTTTACCCATACTTTTTCGTACCCTACCTATCACATCATAGTTTTTCATTAATAACTAAATCATCACATTTTACTTTTACCCATCACTTCTAGGATAAAATTGAAAAATTAACTAAAATTATACTTTCCTTATTTTGTCCAAAGTCAAAACAAGAATCGTTTTAAAAAACGAAAGGAGTATTAAATATGGGTATGTAAGAGATGTTTCTTTTTATTGATTTTCCAAATAGTCTTGGTGTAATGTGTAAAGGTAAAAAATGATGTATAGATTGATAGTGAATACAAATGATGTGATAGATTGGATAAAAATTAATAAGATTGAAGATATATTTTTAATGGAAATTAGGAATAAATTTTGGTACAAAAAAATAAATAAAGAAGAATTAATTTATTTACCCCCCCTACTTGCAAACAAATTTATGATTATTCCGTTTATTTGCTTTATTAGGTTTTAGACCAACAACTTTTGTTTGGTTTAGTAAGAAATGGCGACATTGACGTATATTTGAAGGAAAACATGAGAAGTTGAGAATCTTTTATGGGACCAATAGATCTCTCACTATTTTGACGGAGTCTACTTTTATGCTTTAACGCCCTTCCTAGAAAATCTAATAGAGCTTAGTTGTGGAAAATTTCAAAAGATAAACCGACAAACAAAATTTAATAATGAGATCCATTAAGGAACGAGGGATATACGACACTACTATGTACTCCCTATGAGAGAATTCAGCCGCTCTTTAATTAAAAATTCGCCTGTTTAATCCTTCTCTCTCATATACACATTGTCTTCACATCATTCATTTTTTAAACAAACATTCACAACTCATCTCATCCACTCATCGATTCTGATGTTGTAAATTTAATTGGATAGGTTTATGTGAGTGTGATCAGATCAAAACGGACTCTATCAAGTAAGCCAAACATACTCGAAAGCAAGAACACAAGAATGACCTAGATCAAGAAAGAATTTCTGTGCCCGAAATTATGTTTATTATTCTGTCTCAAGAGTGTATAAATGTGTGTATGAAAGATTTCATCTCCCTTCTCCACCTCTTACAATCTATTTTATATAGGGTGGAAGAGAGCAATTAAGGTAACAAGCCTTTTCTTGGACGTAGACCTAGCTTCAATCAGTATCTACATAAGAAAATAGGTCTTTGACCCGCTTCTCGTTGGCCTAACCGTTAATGGGCGCTAATCTCGCTCTCATTTATGTTGTCTAGCGGCTTAGCGCAATTCCCACTCCATCATTAAGTCCGGAAGATGGCAGGTAGGATAGCGCGATGGCTCTGTACGCGCAATCGCCTAGCGTTGTGTTCATCGTCCAAACTCCTGAAATCAGACCGGACCAACCTAAGTGGTTATCTTTATTTTATTTTCTATTTGTTTTTTATTTTAATTTTGATTAAAATAAAAGAAACAGTATAAAATTAATGAATAGAAAATGAGAAATGAGAAATGAGCTTTAGTGAAAAAGAGAACATTTTATTGATTTTTAAATCATGCAAATGAACCAATAATTAAAGATATCTTTTAGACAAAAAATGAAAATGTTTAATTTGAGACGAATGAAGTGTACGCTAAATCTTATTATTTAATTGATTTTTATTGCAAACACAAAAAAAGTTGATTATTAAAACATTATAAAAATATAGTTTTAAAAAAGAAATTAAAAAGATTTATGAAAAGAATAGTAGAAAAAAGAAAAAAAATAAAGAAAAGAGGGGAATTTTTAAAATCATAGGGAACAATAGAGATATTCATGTAATATTTGAAAGATATTTTAGTCTAGAAAGACAGTGTCATAACAATATGAGAACCATGAAAGGCAATGACGTAAATTTTGAAACCATAGAGATAATAATGCGCATTTACCAAATCACAGGGGGTCACGGTGAAGCTCATCATAGATACAATGAAATTCCAATGATAATGTGATTTGCCAACATATAATACCACGTTCATGTCACATGCCACATTCCCAAAAAAGAGAAAAGAGTTGTGAAAATAAATTGAAGAATACAAACATAACTAACCTTTTTCCAAATCATCTCTTCCCAAATAAAAAAAATGAACTAAGAGGGTGTTTGGAGTTGGATTTGAAAATTACTTATGAGCTTTTGTTTCATTAAAATATTATTTTAATTTGTTTTGACTTATAAATTATGACTTCTGCAGTCTAAAATAGATTCATGAAATGCTTTGAATAATCTACAACACCTTCAAACACCCTCTAAAAAGTGAGACACTCAAAAAATCTTATAGTGCGTCAACATTTAAGAATACTGAATTGTACTTGAACGAATATAACGTAACTATTAATAATTCGATTGTGTTGATTTTACAAAGTATTCGGATTAAAATAGAAAAAATGCTAGTCTCCTCTTAATGCTATTCACAATTTAATTCACTTTTTAAATCACAATTTATTTAATTTTAATAATATAGTTTTAAAAATCGTAACGGAAATCGGCGGTCAAGCCGGTTTGATCCATCCCTAAAGACCGTAATATGTGTTGAACCGACTCAAACTGGTTCAGATCGGTAAGAACCGACTGGTCAATCGGTGAACCTTTTTTTTGCGAAATTCTTCAAAAATATTACTGTAACTAGTACTTGAACGGTTATAACGTAACAATTAATAATTCTATTGTGTTGGTTTTAGTATTTCACAGAGCATTTGGATTAAAGAAATAAAAATGCTAGTCTCTTCCAAATGCTATTCACAATTTAATTCACTTTTTAATTCACAATTTATATATTTTTAATAACATCGTTTTAAATACCATAATGGAAATCAACGATCAAGCCGGTCTGATCCATGCATCCAGCCCTAAAAATCGTAAAATATGTCGAACAAGCTCAAACTGGTTCAGACCGGCAAAAACCGACCGGTCAAACCAGTGGACCTTTTTTTGCAAAATTCTTCAATAATTTTACCCCACCCATGGGTCCAACCCTAAAGATAAAAACATGTGCCGAACCGGCTCAACCAGTAAGGACCGACCGGTCAAATCATTGAACCATTTTTTATATAAAATTCTTCAAAAATTTACCTCAACCATGGAATTCGAACCCCATACTCCTTACATACCACATCAAGTATCAACCACTACTTCTAGAGCACTCTTATGTTCCTCTAAGCAAAAACCGATATAATATACTACCTTCGTCCCAAAAAAATTTACACGTTTTGATTAAAGTTGAAATTAAGGGAGGGATAATTTTGTGTTGACTTTCCAAAAATATCTTTGATGTGATGGTAAAAGTAGGATGTGATGTGTAAATTATTAGGAAAAAGGTATGATGTGATAGGTAGGGTTTAAAAAAATAAAGGGTAAAAATAGTTTCTTAATTGAAATAGGTAGAAGATTGTGGTACACAATTTTTTTGAAAAGTGTAAAGTTTTTTGGGACGGAGGGAGTATATAACACTCTACAAGATTAAAGGAATAAATTTTCTAAAATGTTTTTTTTTCATTTTCAAAAACTTTGAAATGATAAATTTTAAAAGAATATAAAAGAATTTATTTTCATGTATAATATAATACACTTCCCATGAATTTCTTTTCGTTTTTCTAAAAAAATAAAATATTGTAGCTTCGATTCAAACTTTTAACTATTGATACAAATTCACAATACATTTCATGAAAATCTCATGTTTTGAAAAGATTAGGCAACTTATGGACAAATAAAACTGTCTCTCATTTTATCTGGAAAGGAGGGATATACATCTATTTATAGGGCTGGCTCAAGCCAAGAGGAGGCTTGCCACTTTAAGCTATATATATATATATATATATATATATATATATATATATATATATATATATATATATATATATATATATATATTCAATTTAATAAGGTTTCTCTAAATATTTTTTAATTCACTTTATTTGAAAATTAATGTAATACTAAAAAAGTGAAATTTTATTTAAATACTAAATCTAAAGTTCTACAAAATTAAAATTGATAGGTCAATATTTTTATCAAATGAGTAGCGAATCATTCAGAGTAATTTTTTACTAGATAAATTTTACTTAGTGTGTGTTTGGAATGTCTCAACTTTTTTTGTAGAAGTTTTAATAAAATAATTTTTTTTATTCCGTAGTCCGTATTTGAAAAATTTTATTTTTAAATTGGTGGACATGAGTTCAAACCTCTTTACTATTTCTTTTGAAATATTTTTTTTGTTTTGATGAATGACAAACATGATGATTAATTTCAAGCTGATCGAAAATTTATTTTCATATCGAGAAAAGCAAAGAAGGGTATCAAGAAGTTTACGGCGATAAAAAAAATCGACGATCACCCCTACGCAGATTTTTTTGAAGTGAAGTGAAGACTCCGAAAACTTTTTTTTTAATTAAGTCTAGGAATCTTTGTAAGAATGACAATTTTTTTCTGCACAAACAAATTATTTTTGAGAGATAAAAATAATTATTTTTGAATCAGTTGAAAAATTACTTTTCCTCTGCCTAAAATATTTTACTGAGTCAGTTTCAAAATAAGTGTGTCAAAATTTCTTAAAAACATTTTTTTAAGATTACACAATTTTTTTAGTAAGAAAAATATACTTTAAATATTTTTTTGTGTACATCGTTTGACACAAAAAATAATTTTTGGACTCTTTTTCTCCTCTATTCAAATTCATTGAACAAGGGTTATCAATGAGCGTGCATTTATTCCCGTTGTCTCAAACAATCGTATGAAGCCAAAAGCTTCAATCGCAAATAGGCTTGGGCCCTTTATGTTTGCACGTTATTTTTGAAATTAATCGATTTTCTTTTCCTTTTTAATCGATTAATAGACTTCTAGTTGGATTCCTAGGATCGCCCAATAAGCGATTAATCGATTATTTTTATCTGGTGCATGTTCTGGCTTGCTCCAACGGCTTTATTCTTCCTCAGCCTATTTAATCCCTCATTCTCCTTCATTTCAACACACACTTCTTGCACTCCAATATATTCTTGAGCTATATTCACCCTTTGCTTCATCTTCCTCATCAAAATATTATTTTTGAGAGTTGAAAATATTTTCTTTGAGTGCTAATGAAGTTGTCATCCATAGAGCTTTAATTCTTCAATACTACTTTGCTCAATTGTGTGAGCTTTCATTCTTGTGTTGTAAACTCAATATCTTTTGAGTGTTGTTCTTAAGACTTGTGTGACTCAAGTCTTGTTGTTGTAAGAAAGTGAGGCTTGTGTGATTCAAGTTATCAAGTTGTACCGGGTTTTCAAGCACCCGTTGAAGCTTGAAGATTAGTAGGACTTTCGAGAGTCTCTCGAAGGACTGGACTAGCCACGAGGTGGTGAACCAGTATAAATCTCGGTGTTCTTCTTTCCCTTACTCTCTTTATTTATTCCTGCGATTTTATTATTTCACACACGCGAAAAACGCACATTTTTGAAAACAACTCTATTCACCCTCCTCTAGAGTTGCACATTTGTCTAACATAAATGTTATATTTAGAATAAAATAAATTAAATTAAAAGTAAAATCAATCAAGATCGGATGAGATAATTTATAAGACGGAGATGGATGTATAGTTCTAACATCTTAAATCGGGGCAAAATTAATTGGTCAAGGCATAAAAATACACAGTAATAATATGCTAATAGCGAGGAATCAACAAAAATAAAGTTGTAGAATTAAAATAGTCATTACCAAAATCATCATCCATGAAAACAAAAATATATACAGAAAATTCTTCATCATAATCATTTTCACAAATATTCGGGCCGGGATCTTCTCCCATGAGAAGTGAAAAATAGAGTAGAGAAAATGCACACGAAACGTTACATCCACATCGGCGGTGGCTCGTTCAAGTCGATCGGCAGGCCGCGCCTGGAAACGGCTGCAAACACGTTCGCCTCGCCGCCGTGTTCGGCTGCCGGAGTAGGGGAGGCAGCGGCGGCACCCACTACCTTCAGGGGAGGCAGAGGCGGGTGCACGAAGGCCGCCTTGGGCACACAGGTCTGGAGGAACTCTCCAATCATGAAGCGGCGGCCAGGCGGCGGAGGCCAATAGCTGCGGAGGTGTTGGTCGGACGGGAGGTTGTTTAGATCCAGCGGGAAGGACGGCGGCGGCGGAAGCGGAGGCGGGACGAAGGGCGGAAGAGGGAAATTGGTCTTAGCCTTGGTTCCCCGGAGGGACCTGGCGGCGCCGTCGTAGGCTAAGGCGGCTTCTTCCGGGGTGTCGAAAGTGCCCAACCAAACGCGGGTTTTCTTCCACGGGTCGCGAATCTCGGCGGCGTAGCGGCCCCACGGCCGCTTTCTCACTCCTCTGTAGTGGCCCTCACGGGTGGACGCCATGGAAGACGACGAGGAAGAAGTAGAGAGAGAGAGAGAGGGGAAGACCGGATTTATGTTCGGTCTTTTTTTTAATTATAAGAATGAGAGGAAAAGGTTGTCTTAAAAAGAGCAGGGGTAATTGTGGGTGGAAACCAAACATAAAGTTTCAATTTATTTATTTTTTTTAAAGGGGGGAGAGAGAAAAAGGTGATGAAAAGGGCCCACTTGGAAAGCCCGTAATCGTCGGCTGGACGGCACGAGTTATTCCGTGTCGCTCATGACTTGGTCCTGTTGCTTACTGTGCACACCCGTTTTATGTTTCTCAAACACCATTAAATTATTAATACTCCATTCGTTTTTAAATATATTCTCTATACCCCTAAATATTTGTCACACTTGTATTTCTGAAATAAAATATCAAGTTTTTTCAATTTATTTTATTTACATATTGGTATAAAAATAAAACATAAAATTTACATATCAAAAAACTACATGAAAAGTTTTTCGAAATAAGAGGCGTCAAGAATATTTTATTTTATCAAATAACAAATGAAAATGTAGAAATAAATAAAAATTTTCGCGACTACTGAAAAAGCAAATGTGACAAATATTTTGGGATGGAGGGAGTATTAATTTTAATTTTAAAAGTTTTTTTGAGATTGTTGAAGAAAAAAATAATGATTTTATACATCTACTACCTCCGTCCCGTGAAACATTTCCCCTTTCTTTTTTTATCCGTCCCACAAAACACTTCTCATTTCTATTAAAAAGTCACTTTTACCCCTTACTTTTTCATACTCTAACTATCACATCATACCTTTTTACTAATAATCTATCCATCAAATCATACTTTTACCCATCACATCAAAAGACATTTTTGGAAATTCAATACCAAAATACACTCCCTTACATCCCTCCTAAAAAGCAAATGTCCCATGTTTTACGGGACGGAGGTAGTAAAAATTACCGTAAAAGATCTATAGAAATCATATATATATCTTCATTGTGTGTTTTGAATGATTATTTGATAAAATAAAATATTTTATCATTTTTTTGTTACAAAAATCATACTTGTAACATTTTGATAAATAAAAAACTATAAAAACACTAACCACATTCTGCACTGATGTCGATCAACGACATTGTTACATTGCCACACTTACCACATTCTTACAATGCTACTGTCATGCTATCACTACAACACTGTCATCCATTGTAAGAGTACCACCGCCGATCAACGACATTGATTGGTGGTTTGCCGATGATAAACTGATCACACTTTTATATTACATTATGATCACTTTTCCATGACATTGTCAATAACTTCACATTACAATATTATCATACTCTTATTTTAGTTTTAAATGATTTAAGATTCATATTCTAAAATTTTCATACTTTTTTACTCTTATCCAAGCTAATTCTTTTCACCTAAAGTCAATCATCCATTACTTTCATTTTCACCTAAAATACTTTTTTCATCTCTTGTTTTGACGTAGTTTTTAAATGTATTAATTTTATTTTTTATTTTTATCCAATCTTTAAATAAAATGAAAAGACTTGAAATTTCGTTTCGTTTTGCATAATGTGACAGACACTTTTAAGATGGACGGAGTATACAGTCTATATTTTTTATTCAATTTTTAAATAAATATGTATTACTCTTTTTTTATTCTTTAAGGCCTTGTTTGGTACACGGAATTCCAATTCTCGTGTTTGGTAGCACAAAAATTATGTGGATTTGAAATTGGTAGTGTAAAAAATGAATTGAAATTGGTGAATTCAATTCTATGGAATTGAATTTCATGCAATTTTTATTCCAATTCAATTCCAATTTCATTAATTCCATATACCAAACGGACCCTAAATTAATTTTATAACTGGGACAAAAAATTAAGATGTGATAGTTTTGGCCAAATAGAGATGAGATATTGCCATGCTACACCCTTTTATATTCCATTTGGCTCGTTATTTATCATTTTTTTCTTATCTCATCCTCAAATTGTATTAACCTTATAAAATATGTTAGGTGAAGGGTAAGGTGTGACCAATTTGTGGAAAATGTGAGAGACTAGCGTTTTGAAAAAATTATCTTCAAATAATGTTTGACCTTAAGTTTTTTAAAATTAATCTACATCGTTAAAATTTTATTAGTGATACCAACGCTAATCAAAAATGCTATTTCTAAATGAGGTGGTGGGGCGTATAGTGGAGTACAAAATGATACTTCCTCCGTCCCTTCAAAAACTTCCTAGTTTGACTTCTTGAAGATTTAAAAGGAGTGCATTTTGGTGTTGACTTTCCAAAAATGTCCTTCGATGTAATGAATAAAGTAGGATGTAATGGATAGATTAATAGAGAAAAAAAGTGATGTGATATGTATGTTAAGAATTAATAGCGATAAAAATAACTTTTTAATAGAAAAAGGAAAAATATTTTTTGAAACACATAAAAAAAGAAAGGAGAACTTTTTTGAGGGACAGAGGTAGTAGAACCCAACCAATCAAATCTTGAACAAAAAATCAAATAAAGCGGCCGAGGGATATAACTAGAAAAATGCTAGGGGTACACCTGGTGTACCCCATATGTCCCCCACCCCCTCCTTGTCTACTAAAAAAGGGCAAAAAAATTTAAAAAAATAAGTAAATAAAAATCAAATAAAAATGTGTAGTGGAAAAGGGGGTGATGTACATTTGAGGTACACCTTTTGGTGTACCTCTAGAATTGCTCATATAATTAAGTGGGAGCAGAGGGATGGCTGAGGCGGACCCCTCCGTGGAGGAGGCAGCGAATTTTAAAACGCATAAGCGAATAAAACGAGAAAATGGGGAAGGGACCCCGCAGTGGGACTTGGAGAGCATGGGTCGGCATTTTATCGCTCCGTATTTCGGGTCAAAACAAGGTTTTTTATTAGAAAATGCTAGAGTGATAAATATATAGTTCAAAAACTTCACAAATTTGTTTTTCTTGAATTTTAAATTAAAACATCTTTTATTTTTTGAGTGCATCTTATTTCTAGGAAAATGTTAAATATGTAAATTTGTGAATTTTGTGAACGGTTTGTTTGTGACTCTAGTATTACTCTTTTTTATTTGGTGACATAAGATTTAAGTAAAATAAAATTGTGTGGATAACAATGATATAGAGTAGATCCATGCAAATAAGGGTCGGCCTGTTTGGCCCGCCCAGCCCGCCTTTTAAAAAGGACAGATATGGACAACCTTTAATACCCACACGGGCGGGCTGGCCCGAGCCCAAATTATATTTGAGCGGATCTGAAAGTTAATTTTAGCTCATCCGGGCCAACATACCCACCCATATACATCAAAAATATTTACTTTATTATTAATTATCTAGCCAATTTAATTTTGAAAAATTGTTGTAGTTCATGTATAATGGTTCAATTCACTTACCTCTTTTAAACAAAAATCAATATTCTTTTAATGAATTAGTATGATGAGTTTATTAATTTTGGAACAATACCTCTAATATGTTTTCTATGTAAATTTGGTAAGTGGTGATTTTATTTTAAACATTGAAAAATGAGTTTAATGTTTTTTTTTTGAATTTTTTGTGCAAAGAAAAGTTTTATTGGTGTTTTATCCGGGCCGGGCGGCCCGCTAAGGTGAATAGTGGGTAAAGAATTTAGCCCATCAAACTCGAGCCGGGCTAAACCTATCTTTGTAAACGGGCTAATAATTTGTATCCAGTCTGGCCCAAATCCTTATTTGCACAGATCTAATATAGAGATGAGAAAAGAGTGCAACTCATGGAAAATATTCTAAAATTGAAAAGGGTAATCTTTGTTAAGAACTCAAAAAAGAAATGAAGAATCATTTTTTTGAGACAAAAAGTAATTTTAGACATATTATTGACATGAACAAATTAAACTTTATTCATTGTGTTCTTTATTTTCATTACACTTTTAAAATACTCATTCCGTCCAAAATGAATCTTCACATTTTGAACAATGTAGAAATTTTTTTTTATAATAAATTTATTTATAAATTGCTATAAAATAAAAAATACAAATTACATATTTCAAAAGCACATTAAAAGTTTTGCAAAATAAAATGTGACACCAAGTATCATATGTAAGCTCTACCTTTACCACTAATCTATGTTTAAAACTCCATTTACCTCTTCTAAGAAAATCATCTAGACGATTTAGAGGAGCCCTCAGAAATGAGGTTCGTCCTTTATTTACAAAGTAAAGTAATGCCAATAGGGTCACATCAAAGTTTGATTTTTTATAATTGCATGGGAATAAAATATATTTTGCATGTGGCTTATACCATTATCACGTGCATGATTCATCTCTTGCAAACTACTACCTCTGTCATAAAACTTTCTTCCCGCTTCGCAAAATGAAAAAAAATCCTAAGTTTTATCAATCTATTTTATTTAAATATTGGTATAGAAATAAAAAATAAAACATACATATTTAAAAACTATATCAAAAGTTCAACAAAACAAGTGGTGACAAGAATATTTTATTTTATCATATAGGCCATGAAAAAACACAAATAAATATAAATTCCCGTGAAGTTGGAATAGTACTTTGGGAAGAAAGTTTTAGAACGGAGGGAGTAATATGTAATAAAGCCTCAAATTACTCTGTTTCAAGTGGCCGTTCTATCGGTTCTCGGGCATTGGGATTGGAGATCATCATTTTCTAATATAGTTAAAAATAGAAAAATGCTAGGGGTACACCTTTGGTGTACCCTAAATATCCCCCACCCCCTCCTTGTCCACTAAAAAAGGCAAAAAAATTCAAAAAAATAAGTAAATAAAAATGTGCGGAGGAAAATAGGGTGGTGTACATTTGGGGTACAGCTTTTGGTGTACCCCTAGCATTACTCTCTTTAAAATATGTTGTCCAAAATATTTATTTTTCTCCTAAAGAAGCTTCAACCACTCATATGTTATTTCTCAAAATAAAAAAAATGGTGAATCAAACTATGACAATTAAATCAAGATTGAGAGTATAAAATATTAGACTTCAAAAAAATGACTTGACATATTTTTGGCCGACTTGAAAATATTGAGTTTTGAACAAAAAATTTATTGACCAAACTTGA